TTTTTTTTTTACAGTTTTTACTTTTTTTTTTTTTGGAGTTTTGTCTGCTTTCTTCTGATAAGGCGCGCCCTTGTCTCATTAATTTGCACACGAGTACAACGGGCCTCAAAAGGGAAAAAGAAAACCGACTCCACCAGGCTGCTTGGTCGGCGTGCACGGACCTTGGGGAGTGTCTCGCTCCCCGGCTGATTCCCACGCGGTGACAAGAGCCGGGAACACGGAATAACACGGCTCCAGTTAAGCCATCAGGACCTGGGCTTGAATCTGGCGCCTTCCACCGTTTCCCTTTTTCCTCTTCCCTTTCATTTTTCTATTTTCTCTTTTCCTTTCTTTTTCTATTTTTCGAATTTCGCTTGTTTTCTCGTGACCATCGGATTGGTGGCATGAAACAAGCGGCGAGGAATGGGGCTTCCACTAGAAGCATGCTATTCTCGGTGACACACTAACCGACGCGACCATATTAGAATAGGACTCATGCAGTACTGTTCATCGGGCCTCTGCATTACGACTCGGTCTGACATCAGATCATCGGTTGTGGTGCAGAGCGTTCCAGTTTATTCCACGAAGGAATAGTGAGACCAAGCGCTTCTTCGCCGATTGGGACCGGGAAGAGGACCGGCAGGACGTCGAAGAAGTGGTAATACTCCTACAGTCTTCCCCCGATTACAACGTACGGTCATTATAGCTGAATTTGGTCTATCTTTGCGTCTAAATTCAGCTATAATGACCGTGCGTTGTATTCGGGGGAAGACTGTAGCGTGAGCATCATCTAGGCTTCTTTTCCGGTCCCACACCTAGATGCGCCTCGACCAAGCACTGTGCAGTCTGCCGCATGCTGCCCCGCCGAACTCCCCGCACTTTGCGTCTTATCCCCCTTGCCATCGCTAAGCGCCATACTCGCTCCGCTTCTCCTCCTCGTCCTGCTGCCAAATCTCACCATCGCCATCTCGCTCTATACTGGCTGCATCTCCGAAAGGCATTCCTCTGTACCTCTTCCAGGCGCTTTGCTTGGTGGCACCATCTGCTTCATGACCCTGTTACTCAGGGGCTGTTGCTGCATATTCTACACGCTGGGCGCTGTTTGCTGGCATATTGTCGAGCGGGTGACGTAGGGACGAAGGAGCATGGTAATGGAGTCCAGGACGGAAATGGAGGCGTACTCATGCGCCTTTATGGCCTTCCTCTCATTCCTCTCATTCCTTTCCTTCCTCTACTTCATATACTCCCTCCCGTGTCTTCCTCCACAACCCCCCCATGAGTTCTCTCTCCCCCCTTCCACCTCACCATCTCTTGCTTCTCCCCACGCTACCCCCTTCCCATTTCAAACCCCTCCCCCTCTCACCTCCCCATCACCCCCCTCACCTTCAGAAGACCAGGAAGATGTCCCTCCATTTGATGACGCCCCACGTGGCAGGGGGCAGAAAAGCGCTTTAGGGAATTACAACACCCTTCCTACAATTTGGCGAGATGATCCGTGCGCATAACAAGGGCACACTGGATCTGGAGGATAGAGCTAAAGAGAGAGAGAGGGGGAGAGAGAGAGGG